CTCGTTGCTAGGATATATCTCTTAGTTCATATTGATTATCCTAGCTCATATAGCTTGTTGTATTTCATACTTGCTAGGATAACTTGTTAATAAGATTTAATTGACATATAATCGGATTAGATTAGCATAAGGCCCTAATCACCCCCCCTAGGGTCTAATAATCATGTGCCACGCACGTGACGAGTTCTCGCCGGAAAAGTGGTCGCCGACGAGAAAAAGGACCTAATTGGTAATTTTAATCAATTAAAATACCTTAACGCCGATTTTTTTATTTAAAATACCTTCTTGACAAATGGGGTTGAATTAAAATACTAATATGAGTATTTAGCCTATTCAGGACCGGTCCTGAGATTTTTGGGGCCCTGGGCAAAATTAAAAAATGGGGCCCTTAACTGATAAACTGTCTATTTATAACAAAGATATTTTATTGAAATGAAAAAATGGGGCCCTTAACTGATAAACTGTCTATTTATAACAAAGATATTTTATTGAAATGAAATGAATATAAGATTACAAAATTACTTAAAACAATTTCTTCGAGCATTATTTGATGCAAAGTCATTAATAATACAATCAACGTCTATGTCTTGTAACATCTCATTCTCGATGCTTAGAATAGCCAAATTGTTCAATCTTTCTTGTGCCATTGTTGAACGCAAGTAGGTTTTTACCAACTTCAATTTTGAAAAACTTCTCTCCGCTGTTGCTACAAATACATGCACAGTTAATAAGATTCGATAGGCAATTGAAACATTTGGATAACAATCAGCTTGCTTAACAAATTCCAAAATTTGGATTGCTGTCATTGACACTTCTGGTAAAGTTTTTTGTAGCACTCTTAATTCAGAAAACATATCATTAAGATCAATATCAGATGAATCATTATGAGATAAAACACTTTCAAGATGATTGCAACAATTTCTTAATTTACTATCATCCAATGACTTCAAAGTATCTGAATCACATAAAAACCCAAAAATACTTTCAAATGTCTTTAGTTGTTCAAATCTCTCTTTTAATGAATTGATTGCCATATCCACAACAATTAAAAAAATAATTAACTCTAAAAGACTCCTCTGTGGATTGTATTTCTTCATCATGATCAGTTTCACCAGGTTGTTTTTTCCTAATGATACGATGTTTTGTTGGAAATGTAGGATCCACATTCATATCAAATGCAACACTTCTAGCAATATCCAAACTCTTCTCAAACCCATCATTTCTAAAATTTTCAAAATATAACATCACGTCTCTCACCTGATTCATAGTAGTGTTAATATTCATATTTTTATTTTGTAATTTTTTGCTAACCATGTTAATAGCAAACAAAACATCATACCAAATAATCATACCAAGTAAAAATTCAAAGTTCTCAATTGCAGTGACCAAACTTTCAGCTTCACTCTTTGTTTTCGCATCTTCTGAAGTTTTATATAATTCTAACAAAGCCAATCTTATGTGAGGAGCTTGAAATCTAATGGCTTTTACACTTTTCACTCTACTCTCCCAACGAGTATTACACAAAGATTTCACAGTAAATGAAGGAACATTATTAATTAAAATCTTCCACCTCTTAGTAGAACTCGAAAATAATGAATATATACGTTGCACAACTCCAAAAAATGAGATAGCTTTAACACATCTTTATTTGATTACTGGACATATTCACACAACGTACAACTAGGACCATTTGTTCTTGATGACTTATATCTGGAGTACAATCAAGAATTACAGAAAAATATTTTGCTTCTTTAATTTTCTTAATGATAGAGCTCCTAACAGCAAGGCCTAAACGAGAAATCAACTCATTTTGTATTTTGTTGCTAAGATAATGATAATGAACTTCATGATTTTGAACACGTCTAACATGCTCTTGCATTACTACATCAAATTCTGCAATCATCTCAATAAGTCCCAAAAAATTACCATTATTATTTTGATAAAGCTTCTCATTAGATCCTCGAAAAGCCAAATTATTCTTAGCAAGACATTTTATGACGGCTATTATTCTAATCAAAACTTGTCGCCATCGTTCTTTTTCCATCATAATTTGTTTTTGCAACTCATTATCAATTGTTTCATTTTTTTTCCCAACCTTAATCTTAGCTCATTCCAAGAGCTCATATTAGTCATATGCTCAATACTATTTTCATGGTCAGATAGTCTCTTGCCAATATGACTCCAATCTTTCAATCCTTCATTTGCCAATAAAGTCGTATTGCTATTAGATTTGAATAATTTACAACAAAAACAAAAGACTTTATCAACGAGTTTAGAGTAAATCAACCATTTTCGATCACTTATTTCTCCATTACTCAATTTTCTAGAATAATGTGCATATGAAAAATGCCTACGGTCTCCGTCTAAAGGAAAGTCAATATTCAATTCTCTGTCAACTCCCTTCTCAACTAAAATGTCTCTATCTTTGTTATCAAGATTTTTCCAAGTACTAGGTTCATATATATCAAAATGTGGTAAAGATTGACTATCATCACCTAAATTTTCATTATTAAATTCACTCTGCATAGTATTATCATCATGAAAATTTGGTAAAGATTGGCCCTGATCATGATCATCACCTAACTGCTCATTAACATCTTCACTTGAAACAATATGTTCATCACTTAAATTTTCATTTGATCCACTAACTACAGGAATGTTAGAACTTTTTGATAAAAATCTATCAATGGCTCCTTTTTGTGACTCTATTAGTTCTTCTACTCGTTTTTTCTTTTTTCTTTTTTCATTTCCGCATAAATATTTTCGAGGCGCCATTTTCTTTAAATAAATAACTAAACAATTCTATGAGATTTAAGACAAATAACAGAAACAATTACAATCAAATAACTTAGTAAAAAGAAAAGGAATAATAGCACCTGATTTAAGTGTATGACAATGCCCAAATAGCCAATGAAATAATTGCAATGTATCTTTGAGAACAAATTTTAGATGGAGAAGTTTAATAGACAAACTTTTCTTGATTATCCTATGAAATATAATCCCTTTATATAGTGGAGAGAGATTAATAATTATTTAATGTTAGGAGTAAAAATTAAATATCAAACGGTTAAAAAATTACATGTCAAACAGCTGAATAAAATTTGTTGCAAAAAAAGAGTAGTCCCCTCTCCAGATTTGCATTATAGCCTTATAGGAGAGATTAGTTAGTTTGATTGATTAAATCAATCTCGTGCTTCTCGGCAACTTAAACAACAATAATGCAATTAATAAGGCAATTCAATATTTCAATTCAATGACTAAGTTTTAGCTTATAAATATTATAATTCAATATTTCAATTCAATGACTAAGTTTTAGCTTATAAATATTATTGGGCCAGATTTTGGGTCATACAAAATTTAATAAACAATGACTAAGTTTTAGCTTATAAATATTATTGGGCCAGATTTTGGGTCATACAAAATTTAATAAACTAGTGGACCCTATAAAATTTTGGGGCCCCTTTTCAACAGGGGCCCTGTGCGGTTACGCCCCCTGCCATAGCCCAGTCCCGGCCCTGAGCCCATTTTAGACCGACACCCCTCCCTACGGTCGCGAGTCTGAAGTTGGAGGCAGACCAAGGCATCAATAAAGCATCACCCTGATGACATTCCACCACTTTGCCCACTTTTTTAGTAATACCTCATGCAACACGTGAATCTCCCCATGTGTAAATTTCCAATCCAAAAGTACACGTGTCGACTCCCAGTAGTTCCACAGTCCTGCGGTACATGTGCTCGCTAAAACCGCCGCGTCACGAGATCAGGATGCCATCCGAACAGCGATTGACTCATCGGCTAGCTGCAGAAGCAGCCCCACGAACAAACAACCGACAGGCTCCGTGTAAATCACGTGACCACTGCATCTACGTACACGTGTCGATAAATAGGATAAACTCCCGAGGTTTCCCGAGCCGGTTTTTGTACCCGTTGATGGTTATCCGACCCGATTCGCTAGGTAAACATTTGAAATTGCCCACGTGGTGCCCATGGCAGACAAAGGTTGGGTGAGTTCCAAGGGAGCACGCCTCCTTTTACTTCCTTTTTCCGGCCACCCACTCCTTTATAACGAAAATAAAATATTACATTTATTCTTTTTTACTTTATATTCTCACCCCCGTTTTAGTGGCGGTTTACTCTTTTTGTTGATAAAGGGATGGTTTGGATCGGTTTTTTTGGATCGGTAAAAGTGAGGAAAGCTGTCAAAAATGTCATTTTTTTTCATGAATACTCAGAGTCCTCTAAAAAAACTTGTCATAATCCATTAGACATAAAAAAAATAATTTTTCTTATAATATTTCTCTTGGGATAAAGAACATCATAGGTATAAAATCTCTCCCACAACATCTTTCTTATGAAGTTTTCTTCAATTGCGAGCCAACATGTAAGCTCTAATAATCAATGATCCGTGCTTCTTATGATTCATTTGTCTAATAATAAATCGAATGACTTTCTCAAGAACTATAATTTTATAGTATATTTAGCCAAAGAATAGTACTGCACTAAACTATGAGGTTGTAATATAATTTAACTATGAACAATATTGAGCCAATCAAATTTATTTGGAGATCATGAGACAACTAAATTGTTTTTTCAAATAGAAAGGGAAAAACAACAGCAGAAATTTTATTCGACGCACACAAAATGAAATAAGTAGAGGCTAACTACATACTTTTTTTTCTTTTCGCTGGACTGTTTGTAGACTAGAAATGTAAATAACAATTTATCCACATACTGATATGCAAAACTTGATAAGAATAGTGGTAAGGCTAGAATTTATTCATCGAATGATGTGCTGTACGTTGTGGACTTTGTCCACCCAACAAACCTCGTGCCTATTTGTATAATTCTCCGCAATCCTGTAAAAAAACAAATAAACAAATAAATAAAAGTAAAAAAATTAATTGAACATTATTTAAACCAACGAATAAATTATCTCGTCGCGAGAATCACGTGCTCTAAATCCCTGGCTCCCATCAAAGAAGAAAGATATTATAAAAGAGGAGGCTACAGAGGAACGAAGAAAACAAGGGAAGAGAGAAAGTAAACTAGCACACAGCAATCTTGGAAGTAAAAAAACAGAGAGAGAGAAGAGATCTCGGAATTGGGTCGGGTGCTTCGCCGGTTAGATTACCATGTCGAACGCCGCAGCGGTGACGAGAGGGGAGAAAGCTTCGAGCTTTGCGGTGACCTGCAACCTCTTGAGCCAGTATCTTAAGGAAAACGGCAGATCTTTGGGCGATCTTGGGCTGGCAGCTTCAATCGGTAGGGTTTGCTGATTAGTTTTAGGACTTTCAACATTTTTGACCAATTTGACGAAATATAGTGGAAATTTTGTTCAGTAATTTCATAGAAGCTTTATTTTTTTTTTAATTTTTTTAAAACAATGGGGGATTTGTTGCGGAATTTGTAATTAGTTTCGTTTTAAAGTGAAGAATATCAAAGGTGGCATCTTTTGTGCGTCTTCTCCGGTCCTCATGCTTCTTTCCTAACTTCAGAGAATTCTTGAGCTTTTGAGCCAGTTATGGAAATTTTAGGTTTTTTTTCCTGTATAACGGGGATTTGTTTAGATATTGAACAATTTTGATGGATGAGATTGAAATTTCCTGAAGCTTAATGGACCTTTTTAGTATTTTTACCATTTACGATAATTATTTGGGGCTTTCTTATGGAAGTTGTATTTTTTGTGCTTATCTTCGTCTTATTAAAGTGAATAATGTTTTTTAACAAAAGATATTTCTAAAGTTCAGAAAAATTCTGAGCTCTTATTTGGAACTAGTTATAGAATTTTTTTGATCAAGATCTATTGTGGCCAAGCAAATTGGTAGGTATTTCTTTCTTAATTAATACTCATTCCTTCTTTTGTTTTCAGGGAACATTAATACATATCGGCCTCCAACTACGATGAGCCTGTTACCAGGCGTCGACGTATCGGGGGATAACACGAGAAAACGCGTATCGGACCGGAACGCTACGAAATCTATGGATTTGTTCCCTCAACGTTCTGGTTTCAGTCACCAGGCTCCGGCAGCGGCCGCAGAAGATAAGAAGTTAGTATCTTCTCTTTGCATATAAACTCTTTATAATTTTTATTTGCAAATATTTGAGAGCTTGACCTATTTTCATCAGTATGGAGCTTTTATGACTAGTTTGTACCGATTCCAAATTAAAGGAAAAAAACCCTTCATTTTTTATATAGCAGATGACGAAATTTAAGAACACAACGGGCGTAAACATTCCCAAATGGTAAAGTGAATTTTTGTGGAGTATGGATTGTAAAAGCCAAGATCCTAACTTGACCTAGATTTGCCCCATGTAAATTTGTTGTCTTGAAATTGTAGATGCATGTCGAGAACTAATTTTGATATCGAATTTGGTTATGTGTTTACTCAATTGTAGTTTTCTGTATCATTCACAGGGAGCCAGAGAAATCCCAACTAACAATATTTTATGGGGGCAAAGTT